CCCCGGTCGCTTCTGCAGGGAGTTGTCTCAGAGCCCGCGGGGGCGTCAGGGTCCTGCCTGGCAGCCGGCTTGGCCTTGCTTCTGCCCTCAAGGAAGCGGCCCATTAGGGGAGCCCAGTTGGGGGTGGGGGCCTCATCACTCCAGCCATCTGTTCTCTTCTCCCCAACAGCTAGAGTAGACAAGATAACTTCCCTTCTGTGGGGGAGGAGGTGTCGCCTTTAGATTGGATAATGTACTTAGGAAACTGCTTCTCTCTCTTAAAAAACAAACAAACAAAAATCCTAAAGCTCCATCAAACACAATATTTCTGGAGGGCAATCCGATAGTATGTATAAAACAGCCTTCAAAGATTTATGCCAGTATTTTTTTAATGATTGCAAAAAAATGTTCAATCTCAGAGGAATGGGTAATTATATATACACTGTAGAATATTAAAATGTTTATTTAAAATAACGTTCAGAAGAAGTTTTCCATGTCATGGGAAAGTATTTAACTATCACAAGGAAGTATTTTTCACGCGCTTGGCACTGAAGGGGGCACTCGGCCTCACCAGAGACCAGCTCGGCCATGGCCCTGCCTGCCGGGACTGATGTCCCAGAGGAGCAGACCAACAGCAGTAAGCGTGGACGATGAGTATGTGACAGAACACAGCGGAAGGTGACGGCTGCTGTGAGAGAGAAGACTGGCGACGGGGATGGGGCGCTGGCCGGAGGAGGGCGATGGGGCGCCGGCCGGAGGAGGGGGACGGGATGCAGGCTGTAGTGTGAAGCAGGGTGGGCAGGGAGTCTTCACTGGAAGGTATGAGCTAAGTAGCGACTTGAAGGACAGGAAGGAGTCGACCAAGTTGATGCCGATGAAGAAGAGCAGAGGGAGCAGCCAGAGCTGAGGCCGTGCACCCCAGCAGAGGTGGGTGCACACTGAGGTTGGAGGAGGGCTATCGGAGAGCAGGGCTCCAGGGACATCATCACAGGACTGCGCGGGTGTGGGGAGTGGTGAGTGCTGAGCCGAGGGTGGTCAGCAGGGGCCAGATGGTGCCAGGCCTTGCAGGGGAGTGTCTGGACCTTCCCTGAAATCCGTGCGGAGCCACTGGAGGGTTCAAGCAGGGGGACACCATTAAATGTGCATTAAAAAAAAAAGTCACTTGGATAAGAGAGGTGGTGGAAATGATGTCAAAGAATTTCCCTCCCTCAATTTTTATTAAAAGAAGCAAAAAACCCAAAGTCATCAGCAATCTCTGCCACAGGAACAAGCAAGGAAAGGTGCGAAACTGGCAGGCCAGGACAGAAACACGAGTTGGGAGGAGGGGCGGCATGGCCTGCCTCGGCTCCTGGCCCACTACTCCGGACCACACAGGAATGGTATGCGGGTCAGAGCTCAATGAGAAAAATAAACTGCACCAGTGCATCAGCCCCAATCCTGATCATTCTCACTAAAATCCGCAAGGACGGAGAGACGAAAACCGCATGGGTGCTCTTTCATCCCATCCCCCCTTCCGACTACATAATAAAACCCTGGTCAACCAGAAGCAAACAGCAGGGGTGAATCTCTCGATAGAAATGGGGCTCTGGGTGAGGGGGGTGATGAGCCAAAGCCCCCACTGGGGAACGACCCCCAACTTAGAATATCCTGGATCATTCACCAAAAAAACCTCAGTGGTCTAAGAAAGGCCTTGTGGTGCCTCTGCTAGGCTTCTTTGCGGCTTCCTCGTTCCCCAACTCCTCCAGGTCACGTAACACAGAACACCCAGGCTGTCACGGTAGTATGAAGGAAAACAAAGTCGCAGATCCAGTGGGAAGACAGACCAGAAGCCACCCCATGACATCAGAGAAAACAGACTGCCCAGGCCCAGCCACCCAGGCATGAGCAAGGTAAAAGGACAGAGTAGTGAAAACATGATACCCGTATTACTGGGGGGACAAGGACACAGCTAGCAAAAAACGAAAACAAAGTTGAAGAAACCAAGACATAAAAAAGCAAAAGAAAATTCCTCATAATTGCCTCATACTATTGGAATCTATGTTAAATTGATAAAAGAACTGCTTGAGATTTAAAGGGAGGGGAGGGTAACAGTTTCCAGCCCTATGGAAACAAATGAGGTCCAAACATTCTAGAACTAACAGATACATTAGACGCAGGAGAAACAATTACCCATGCAGAGGAAGGATCTGATACAATCACAGTATACACAGACGAAAAAGTCAAAGAAATCAAGGCAATTAAAGAAAACGTAGTTGATATGCAAGACAAACACAATCCAACCTCAGGACAGCTATGTCTAAGGTGGAGAACACAGCAAAGGGAACAGAAGCAGTTTCATAGAGACGGTGCAGAAGGTTCCTGAAATGGAGAAAGAAATCAAGTTGATGGATCAAAAGGCAGGCCACGCTCCAAGATAATTTGATACAGAGTGTACCGTGTGGGGCATGGCCCGACTCCACACTAAACTTGAAGGAGTAAAAAGATTCCTTAGGCATCCACTCAGACAAAACCAGGATCTCAAGGGAGAACTCAGTTCGGCCTAAATTCTCCCACGGCAGCTTTGCCAGGAGACAGTGGAGCGATATCTGCAATGGTCTCACAGAAAAGTTTCATCCAGCAAGCTATTCTCAATCAAGATGTCATTCATGTAAAAAATGACAGGAAGATATTTTCAAACATGAAATAACTCAAGGAATACAGTACCCATGAGTCCCTCCTGAAGAACATTATTTGCTAACAACATCCAGCTAGCCTCAGCTTTCTACCCTCTTACTGGGCTGTGGACAGCACTGTCTAGAGGCTGGCTGTCAAGGATGCTGCAGGGCGGCCCCGAACTGGGCCAGAGTGCTGAGCTCACAGACCCTTCAGGACCTTTCCAACCAAGGGACACCACCATGCCCCAGTGTCTACGTAAACCCAGAGGGCACCGCTGAAACACTGACCACAGTGCACCTCCTGGAGCTGGGCAACTAGTGGCTCGTCCTGACTCATGCTGATCTGCCTATAAATCCCAGAATGCAACATGATTTTACCACTCTGGGCCTCTGTGTATGCTGTCTCCCTGGCCTGAGTGGTCAGCAGTGCCTCACCTGACCCTCCTCTACCTTAATCTTAACCTCTGGGACAACGTTCTGGGAAGCCTCCCTGACAATCACCCACCCCTACTTAAGTAACCCAACTTTCTGGCAAGCTACCCTGACTAATACTGTGCTCTCTCCCTTAACTAATCCAACTTTCCACCACCCCCCTTAGCTAACCCACTCCCCTCAGGCTGGATTAGGGGTCCCCCTGCCCCATCGGCACTGTCATTATCACACTGTCTGCTTGTCTATCTTCCCCGGGGGTAAGGACTGTGTCTTCACCTTCGACACAAATCTCGCACATCCAGAGACTTAATGCGTCTCTGCTGGATAAATCAACGAAGGAACTGAAATAACGTTAAACCAAAGGAGGCAAACAACGGAGAAAACTCCTTTTTCTGCGATTGTCTTATTTCTCTATTAACGGGGCACCAGTGGCTCTCCACCACAGACGCCCAGCACACGACAAGACCAGTACTGCTGAACTCAGTTAACAGAAAGATTTTCCTCCACAGGAACAAACATAACTCAGTTTTCTAGTTTCAGCCAGAAAACAGGATAAACACAATTTCACAAATGACTAGCTACTATATTTATCTACACAACAAGGGATCTCTGTGTGACTTGTGTTGTTCAAGGGCAGACAAAGCTTTCTAGATGGCAACTATTCCACTTGGGGCGGGACCTCCAGGCCTGCCTGTCCCAGAGCCCCGAAGGGGTGTCCAGTACAGCGGGTTCTGACCCCCCACTCCACCCTGGCAGGGCTCTGGGCACTTGGGCAGCTGTCTGAACACCTCACTTGTGGAAGGAAACAACATGTGTAATATACCCCGCGCAGCGCCTGGAACTGTTACTGTCCCCATTTGAAAGAAGATAAAATGAGAAGTTATTTGCCTAAGATATAAAAACAAACAATAGCTATATTTATTAAACTATGCTAGCCAAAACAAACAAATAAAGGAGCCAAAATTCTCGAGGCTTGAAATCCATGCAAACAGGTAAGACAATTACATCCTTCTCCCTCACTCTAATGGAAGCACTCAGCTCTGGACAAAGGAGATGTATCAATGCATCCTGCCTACTGCAGTCCCCTCATGCTCACCACTGAGCACATGAAGCCCCAGGAGCTCATCAGAACGTGATCAAGGAGGACACTCAGGCTAGCAACTGGTCCATGTGAAAATCGTGGTTATCAAAGTACGCAGCCTTCCCTTAAAAGCAACAGTCCTCATGAACACTGACATGAAAAAAGACAAATTCCCAAGAAACTGTCACATGCTTTAGAGGAGTCAAAATTAGTCGCAACTGTGATATTGCCTAAGAAAATAATTTGAACAATTCTATAGCTTATGTTTCTGAACACCCACAGATATGTATAATGTACTTTAAATTGAACCTCTAATCTCAAGGAAACTAGAGTACAAACATACAAAGCATTTTTCATGTCTTATTACTAGGTCTATTAACTGTGATCACAATTAAGAACGAAGTTAAAGCTCTCACTTGTTGCCCATCTTGATAGCTGTCTATACTTAATGTCTGTGTAGCCATCATGGTTAATGAGAGTTTTATTACAAGACATCAAATCATCTTGAGTCAAAAGCAAATGTGGTCTGGGAAAACAAAAGCAGAAAAACATCAGTTAATAGTTGTAGAGCATTTTTTGCCCCCTTTACTCCACAGCATCCACACAATTTTTTAAAAAACACACATTGTCATATGGAGAGAATAAGCCATCCTTAAAACAAAAAAAATAAATCAAACCCCAATCCACAGTACCTCCCTAACGGGCACTCTGCTGGCCCAGGCTTGTTACCACATTCTCTGCCATGGGGACACCACAGTATAGTAAATGACCATCACCTGCACGTGACCGCCTGGGCCCTGGGACACAGCGAGGTCCCTGCTCTCTGGAATAGACAGGGGGAGGAGAGCGAGACAATCAGAGAGACATCAGGTAAGTGCCATGCAGGGACTCCCGGGGGTGCCACAAAGGGGTGAGAGGGTGGCCTCCTGGGCTGTGTGGTCAGGGCAGGCTTCAGACAGGCTGAGGCCCGGGAGAGGCTGAGACCAGGGTGAGGCTGAGGCCCAGGTGAGGCTGAGACCAGGGTTAGGCTGAGGACTGGGAGAGGCTGAGACCAGGGTGACGCTGAGACCAGGGTGACGCTGAGGCCCAGGTCAGGCTGAGACCAGGGTGAGGCTGAGGCCCGGGTCAGGCTGAGACCAGGGTTAGGCTGAGGCCCGGGTCAGGCTGAGACCAGGGTTAGGCTGAGGCCCGGGTCAGGCTGAGACCAGGGTTAGGCTGAGGCCCGGGTCAGGCTGAGACCAGGGTGAGGCTGAGGCCCAGGTGAGGCTGAGACCAGGGAGAGGCTGAGACCAGGGAGAGGCTGAGACCAGGGTAAGGCTGAGGCCCAGTTCAGGCAGAGATCAGGGTTAGGCTGAGGCCCGGGTCAGGCTGAGACGAGGGTTAGGCTGAGGCCTGGGTCAGGCTGAGACGAGGGTTAGGCTGAGGCCGGGTCAGGCTGAGACCAGGGTTAGGCTGAGGCCCGGGTCAGGCTGAGCCCAGGGTTACGCTGAGGCCTGGGTCAGGCTGAGATCACGGTGAGGGTGAGACCAGGTAAGCCAGTGTCCCCAGAGACAGAGTGGTCAATGCAGAGACCTAGGACAAGAGTGACGATGAATGTGCTCATGGCAGCTGAGACAGGCACACTCATGGCACCTGAATGTAACACAAATCTGCACACGATGGCTTGTCTGCTTGATGGCAACCCAACACTTGAAATACCTTTAACGGGGTGGACAATGGGCAGAAGCTCAGAAGGCAGGGATAACAGGCACTCCTGTGGTGCAGACGCAGGCCGGGCACCACACTGTCACCTCGTCGGCACCAAGCTGGCATTGGGTAGGAGAGGGCCCGCCTGACGGCACCAGGCCCACGCCGAGGGGCGTGACCCACCACGCGTGACACCACATCTGGGCTGTGCCCACCTGCCCTGTACCAGCAAGACCGCCAAGTGTCACCCTAGAGACCACGCTTCTCTGAAGCACATCCAACCCATGACGAGCAGACGGGGAAGGAACCGGAAGCTCCTCACGTGCCAAACAGCTCACAGGAACAGGGGTATCCAGCCCGCTAACAGCAGCAGGGGCAGCAGCAGCAAATGCTGGGCAGCGTCTGATCATGTGACAAGCAGCCCAGCAAGGAGGTTCTCTTTCAATCCCACTTCACACTGTGGGGCCCGAGGGATGGGCCAGGGCCGCGGAGCTAGAGAGCAGAACAGCTTCAACCTGAGTGTCGTCCCGGAGGCCCCAGCGGGGACGAGCACCGGCCCACCTCTGAGGAGCTGGGGTGTGGGAGGGCCAGCCACGCAACCTCACAAGAAGACACGGAGGGATAAACTCACACCCACCTTCGTTCTACAAACGTTTACGGGGTGTCAGGCGTGCTCCCATGCCCTGGGTGCACAGCAGAAAAACACAAAGTCCTAGGCCTGACAGAGCTCAGGCTCAAGTGGAGAGACACAGACACAAACCAGTGAGCAGGTGATGAGGGAGATGACGCAGCAGGGAGGGACGGTAACTGGAGGGGAGGGGGTCAGCGGCCTGTGAGGAGGGACGTTCTGGGCAGGAGGGCTGCCACGGGCCCAGGGGTGGGTAAGCACTGCATCTGAGGCACAGCTGGGAGACTAGCGTGGTGGAGGGAGAGGTGAGGAGGAAGGGGGTGGCAGGGATTGGAGGGGGGGCCATGGAGGCCGTGGTGAAGTCTGTGGGAGTGTCTAAGTGGACAGGACACCACGGGAAGACTGTGAGCAGAGGGGGACAGACCTACGCTTTGGGAGGATCCCTCTGACTGCTGTCTGAAGAACAGACGGCATGACTGGGGGTAGGGCTGAGGTGCGGAGTAAGGGGAAGCAGTGGCCGGATGGCACCTGAATGGGGAGTCACTGCCAAGAGGCAGAGCTAGCAGGCCTGGCAGAGGGATTAGACAAAGTGGGGTGTGGGAGAGGAGTCAGGAGGGCTCCACGCGCCCCACCGAGCTGCAGGGAGAGTTGGATTTCACCAAGTGGAGCAAACTGGCAAGGAGAGAGCGGCTCTGTGGCCTGGGAGACAGCAGGCCTGGGGAAACTTTAAGTGTGAGGTACTTCTCAGACTCCAAGTGGATGTTTTGAACAAATGAGTCTAGGCTAGAAATATAAACCTGGTAATCATTAGCATATAGTTACCATATGTAGTGGGTTGAACTGTGTCCCAAGAAAAGGTATGTCCAAGTCCTAACCCTCAGTACCTGTTAATGTGACCTTACTTGGAAACAGGGTTTTTGAGGATGTAATTAAGTTAAGGACCTCGAGATGAGATCATCCTGGATTTACAGCGGACCCTAAATCCAATGACTGGTGTCCTTCTAAGAGAAAGGAAAGGGAGATCTGAGACACACACGGGACAATGGAGGCAGACGCTGGAGTGACACAGCTGCAGCCACAAGCCAAGGAAGGCCTGGGGTTACCAGAGGCCAGGAGAGACACATGGAACAGATTCTTCCTCAGAGCCTCCAGAAAGAACCAACCTTACTGACACCTTGCTTTCAGACTTCTGGACTCTAGAACTGTGAGAGAATAAATTCCTGTTGTTTTAATTCACCCATCTGTATGGCAGCCACGGGAAACTCAAACAGTATGTAAAGCCCCAGGTCTGAACGAGATCACCCAGGAAGAGACAGGAGGTAGGCCACGTAAGAACACAGCCTGGAGGTCAGGAAGGCTGGAGGGTCTGGCAAAGACTCGGGAGCAGCAGCCAGCTGGACAAGAGTAGAACCAAGTGTTGCCACTGAAGCCATTGGAGGAGGCGGTGATCTGCCATGTAAATGCAGCTGAGAGTCAAGGAAGCGGAGTCTGAGCACCACCTGCTGGAGATTCGGAGTGGCGTTGGCAGATGCAGAAGAGAACTTCCTTGACTCAGCAATTCCACTTGTAGGAACTGATCCTAGAGATACACCCACATCTCAACCCCACCCAGGTTAAGCATGTCGCCCCTGGGCCTTCACAAAGCACCCTGTACTTACTTAGCCCTGCAGCACCTTAATTATTTAGACTATACGTTCCTCAAGGGCTAAGGGCCCTGTCTGGTTGCATCGCCAACAACTGGCACAGTATCTGATGCCTGCTGTCATTCACTGAGGATGAGTCCTTCCCAACCCATGACAACCCCACATACAACGGGAACAAAACGCTGCCTGGTCCTATGCCACCTCCCTGATCAGCTGCGGATCTATCTGCTCATTGGGATCCACAGTATTTTCACTGGCTGATGTTTGGAAATAGATGGCCAGGTCTTTCTTCTTAGCCCGTCTGAAACTTGTTCCACATGCGAGCCTCCCCTTGCAGACAGGTGGTATCTGTGCGTGAGGTGCACTGACAGGGAACTGAACCTGGTCACCTGCACAAAGGCAAGAATTCTACCACTGAACCATCGCTGCCCCCACTGACGTCTAGGAGGCACTACATAAAAATGAGTTTAAAAGAATGAACTAAAAAAAAAAAAAAGAAGAATGAATCATAGCTTGACCTGAAACTAACCACTGATGTAACAGATTTTTGGACACATAATTTACAACAGCTTTGCTTGCCTTGATACCCACATCTCTCTGTTCCACCTACGGCATTTTCTAATTTTTATTATCATATTTAAATGGTTGCTGGAATGGAAGCCTCTTGAGGCCAGGGCCTGTGCCTGAACCGACCGTGTATCTCCACAGACAAGGTCAGCAGCTTGCTCAGAACACTAGTCCAATAGATAGTTACTGAAAAAATAGTCAGAAGAGGCTTTGTGGAATAATCTGCAAGTTCGCAGTCTATTGAAGAAGAAATAAAGAAAAAAACGAAGTTTAAAAAAAAAAAAAGGTCATCTTTTTTCTCTAAGTAAATGTCTGTATAATAAGCAGACGTTCAAAATACCTCACTGACTTCCTAGGTTTACTTTCACGCCCGAACAAGGGCATATGAAAGGAACACTGACATTTTTTCAACTCTTCTGTGCAGGATGGACTCTTTTACACATGCTATTTTATTTCATCTTGCATAGAGGCAATAAGGAGGGGTGGGGTTCTGGAATTTAACTTTACCCAAAGTAATCTGGTCTTTGTCCTCAGTTCCTAAGAGATAATCCTTAGAGCTCTGGAATTTCCATACGGACTCCAGATCTGACAGGTTATGCTAAAGAAGCACCTCTGGGCTGTGATAAAAACTCATGATGATTACCTCTGGTGGCCAGGCCAGACAGCCCCACCCCAGGATGCCCTGAGATCACCTCACAGTATCGGCTGACCTCAGGGGTACCTAGTGATGATTGCCTCATGGTGGCCAGGCCAGACAGCCCCACCTCAGGATGCCCTGAGATCACCTCACGGTATCGGCTGACCTCAGGGGTACCTAGTGATGA